GTGTCGCTGCCATGCCGTTAGCCGCCCGCGCAGCAACTCTTGCTGCTGCTGCTGCTGCTGCTGCAGCTGCTGCAGCTGCTGCACGTACCCCTTCCACAGACAACGAAGCTGCTGCGTCACTCATGGCTGAGGCTGTCTGCCCCGCTGATGGCACGCGTGGTGGGCATTCAGCTGCTGCACTTGCTGCAGCAGCAGCAGCTGCTGCTGCTGCTGCATCAATTTGCCGTCCATGCCTTGAAGACGCGCTAGGAGCTTCCGTTGCTGCTCTCGCTGCTTCCCCTGGTGCTGCTGCCGGTGCTGCTGCTGCTGTTGCTGGTGCTGCTGCTGCTTCTCTCTGAATAGGGGACTCGAGGCCTGTCAGCAGCATGACAGCACACAGCTGCTGCTGCAGCAGCACGTGTTGCTGCTGCAGACGCAGCTGCTGTTGTTGCAGCCGCAGCTGCTCCCACTGCTGCTGCAGCAGCTGCTCAGACATCGGCTGGCGCGGCAGAGAGTCCCCCGCATCGTGTGGATCTACGGGCTGCCGTTCATCGAGCTGCTGCTGCTGCTGCTGCTGCTGCTGCGGTGGCAACAGCTGCTGCTGCTGCTCTTTGGTAGCACACTGTTTGGGAGCTTCCGCTTGCTGCTGCTGCTCCTGAAGCTGCTGCAGCTGCTCAAGATGTTCAGCCACGCGCGGCCCCTGCTGCAGCGCTGGAAATGCCTCAGGGGCTTCTGCTGCAGCTGCTGCTGGCCCCAGGTCCCAGAGAGCAGCTAAAAGACACTGCTGCTCCTGCTGCAGCCGCTGCAGCTGCTGCTCCACTAGAACCAGCCGCTGCCGCACCCGCTGCGAAAAATCAGCTAGCTCTGAAGGGTCCTGCAGCCGCAGCAGCAGCAGCAGCAGCAGCAGCAGCAGCAGCAACGACAGCCACAGCAACAATTACATGTGTGGTAGAAGCGCCGACAAGCAGCAGCAACAGCGAGAGCCTCCTGAATTCGGCAGCAGATAATGAAATCCCCAGAAACTGCAGCAGCAGCTGCAGGTGTTGCTGCAGCAGCTGCCGCAGCTGCTGCAGCAGCAGCTGCTTCGGCTGCCTTCTTACCTGGGGCCTCCGAAGCAGCAGCGGCGTCGCTGCTGCTGCTGCTCCCGACTGCTTCCTGCCCTTCGGCAGCAGCGGAGAGTCCCCTCCAGTCTTCGCTGCGCGTGCTCCTGCTGCAGCAGCAGCAGCAGCAGCATCGCTGCTCGCTGCTGCTGCTGCTGCTGCTGCTGCTGCAGCTTTGCGCCTGCTTTCCTTAGGCGCCTTTGCTGCTCCCGCCCCTGCAGCAGATACTGCTGCCTGTCTGGCTCTGCTCTTTGTAGGGGGAGCAGCAGCAGCACCGTCAGCAGCAGCAGCGCGAGCAGCAGCTGCTGCTGGCGCTGCTGCTGCTGCTGTGCTGCTCTGCTCTACGCTCAGCAGCGCAGGAAAGAACAAGTCTATGTTCTGGGAAGGCGACTGCTTCCGCTTCCGCCTGTTTTGCTGCTGCTGCTGCTGCTGCTGCTGCGGCTGCTGCGGCTGCTGCTGGGGCTGCTGCTCCTTACCCGGATAAGCGAAGGCCTCAATGACGCAGAAGTCATCATTTGCAACAGCAGTAACACTGCCTTCTGCAGCAGCTGCTGCTGCTGCTGCTGCAGCAGCAGCAGCAGCAGCAGCTGCTGCTGCTGCTTGTTGCACGCCGCGCTTTTCTCTTCTTCTCCGCTTCGCCTCTGGGGAAGCTGCAGCATCTGTTGCAGCAGCAGCAGCAGCTGCTGCTGCTGCTGCTGACTTTGATGGTGCTCGAGCTCTGCGGCGCCCCACATTTGTGGTGCTGCTGCTGCTTGTCGCCAAGCTGCTGCTGCGGCTCTCTTTGCTGCTGCTGACGCTGCTGCTTGTTACGTGCTGCTGAGGCTCCGGGCCAGTCGGTTGCCCTTTCACCTGCTGCTGCTGCTGCTGCTGCTGCTGCTGCTGCTCATCCTGCGGCTCTTCCTGCTGCTGACGCTGCAGCTTCCCCCTCCTTGCCTTCTTTTCTTGCAGCTGCGCGCAGTGCTGCTCCTCATTTCCGTCCTCCTGCTTCTGATGCTGCTGCTTCTCGCGCTCCTGCTGCTGCTGCTGTTGCTGCTGCTGCTGCTGCTGCTGCTGCTGCTCCCGTTCCTGCTGCTGCTGGTGCTGCTGCTGCTTCTGGCTGTCTTTGTGGGGCCCTACTGGAGAGTGAGTCTCAGCTTCAGCCGCGGCTGATGTGCATGACTGAGGCTTGTTTGCAGTAGGCGGTTCTTGGTGTCCTTGCTGCTGCTGCTGCTGCAGCTGCTGCAGCTGCTGCAGCTGCCGCAGCAGCAGCTGCTCCTGCTGCTGCTCCTGCTGCAGCTGCTGCAGCAGCAGCTGCTCCTGCTGCTGCGACTGCTGCAGCAGATTTGTCGCGTCACTCAGCGTTGCTAGGCAGCTCTCTTCAGGGTGTCCTCGCGCCTCAGATGACTGAGAAGTCATCTCGACTTCTACAGCAGCGCCTCCCTCACAAGCTGCTGCTGCTGCTGCTGCTGCTGCAGGTGCTGCTGCTGCAGCTTCGGCGGAGAGGCGAAGCAGCAGTGCCTTATCTTAGAAGCCTGGCTCGTGGCCTGGGGCTAAGCGGTCACAGCAGCAAAAGGGGGCCCCCAAAGACGCGGGGGCTCTAGGGGCCCCCCAGGCAACAGGAAGCCCGTGGGGCCCCCGCAGCAGCGCTGCAGGGCTGCGGACATGGCTTAGCTGCTGCTGGGGCCCCACACCCCAAGACAACGGAAGCAGCAGCCTCGGGGCCCCCTGCGGCGCAGCTGAGGGGCCTGCTGCAGCACGGGGACCTTCCTAGTCTTCAGGGCTGCGAGTCAAAGCCCACGATCTTGACCTGTGCTGGCCCTGCTGCTGCTGCTGCTGCTGCTGCTGCTACTGCCTGACGCCGGAAAGCGCAGCTGCGGTGAAGACCCCCGGAAGCAGCCACAAGATTCAGCGCCTCCCGGGAGCCTCCCGCCTCAGTGGCAGCAGCAGACCAAAACAAAATGCCTTTTTGACTTACTTCAAGAGCAGCGGCTCAAATCCGAGGGATTTGCTGCGGTTTCCACCCACCAGCCTCACTGAGGCAGCAGCTGTCTTGTGCTGCGCAGCAGCGGAGCCCCAGCAAGCAGCGCAGCAGGAACCTCCCAATGATCTGGAGGTGAAAGAGTAATTTAAGATTGATTTTTGAGAAACAGCTGGCTTGCTGAGGGTGATGGAAAGAGCTGCGCAGCCTTTGGAGCCCTCAGAGGCCAGCTGGAGCTGCTGGGTCACCTCTAATCAACACAAAAACACCGCCTTCTGAAGGCCCAGCGTTGCTGCTGCAGCAGCAAAACGCCCAGCAGCAGCAACTTGTAAGCCACATGACATGCGCGTTTAGCAGCAAGGGGCTCAGTGGCCGCTGCAGCAGTCTGTTTCAGCTGCTGGTTTGCTGCAGCGCTGACAGCTACACATCAAGATAAATCTGACAAAAGTCCTTTTCAATTGAAAAAAATTGGAGTTAATTGGCGAAAATAAAGCAGGAGAAGAAGAAGAAAGGATTTTAAAGAAAAGAAAATAATTGCGTCTGCCGGGAATCGAACCCGGGTCACCTCGATGGCAACGAGGTATTCTACCACTAGACCACAAACGCGCAGTGTGGTGGACCACTTTAAAGCAATCTTTTTAGTTTTGAAAGATTTCTTTTCCTTTAAATTCCATTTGAAAAGCTTTCAAGAAGTCCTTATAAAGTCTTTTGTAATGATGGGCTGCTGAGGTTCTAAGCAGCGTAGCAAAAGGGGGTCTGCTGCTGCAGAGATCGCAGCAAAGCCTGCTGAAGCTGCAGCAATGTGAAGCTGCTTCAGCGGCACAGCAAAGGGAGTGTGCTGCTGCAGTCTGCTGCAGCAGCAGCAGTATGAAGCTGCTTCAGCAGCAGCAGCAGCACGCCGCTGCTGCAGCAGGGGCCGACCTTTGAGGCTGCATGTTCCTACAGGCTGTGAGAGGTTTAGAAGCAACTTGATTATCTTTGAATGCTTCGGGCTTTTCCTGCGTAGCACAGGAGCAGCTACTGCTGCTGCTGCTGGCGCGATGCAGCAGCTGCAGCAGCAGCTGCTGCTGCTGGCAGACGCAGCAGCTGCAACAGGTGCATCTGCTGCTGTTGGCGATAGGAGCTGCAGCCTGAGGTGCAAGAGCAGCTGCCTCTGGGTATACCATCTGCAGCAGCAACAGCAGCAGCAACAGCAGCAGCAGTTGTTGAAGTTGCTGCTTCCTAGCAGCAAATGAGCAGCATGTTTAAGTGCTGAATTGCAGTGCTGTTATGATAGAATTTATTCTAAGATTTAAATGCAGGAAAAGGAATTCTCCTCAGCCCAGTGGTGGCTTGCAGCTTCAGCTCTTTCTTGTTAATTTTATTAAATTAACAATCAAAAGATCAATTAATTATCTAATTAATTAATTATCAATTAACTAATTAGACTTCATCTTCTAGCAGCCAAGGCTTGTCCTCTGGTGCATCTCGAGCAGCTCTTTAAAAGCCCCTCCCCAGCAGCAGCAACTTCATCTGCTGCAGCGCAATGCGCTGCAGCTGCAGCCAATGAGCCTCTCTCTGGTCTGCCAGCTCTTCTGGGCCCTCCTCTATACTAGACTTTCTTTAGGGGCCCCAAGAGGGACGCAGGAGCAGCTACTGCTGCTGCTGCTGGCGCGATGCAGCAGCTGCAGCAGCAGCTGCTGCTGCTGGCAGACGCAGCAGCTGCAACAGGTGCATCTGCTGCTGTTGGCGATAGGAGCTGCAGCCTGAGGTGCAAGAGCAGCTGCCTCTGGGTATACCATCTGCAGCAGCAACAGCAGCAGCAACAGCAGCAGCAGTTGTTGAAGTTGCTGCTTCCTAGCAGCAAATGAGCAGCATGTTTAAGTGCTGAATTGCAGTGCTGTTATGATAGAATTTATTCTAAGATTTAAATGCAGGAAAAGGAATTCTCCTCAGCCCAGTGGTGGCTTGCAGCTTCAGCTCTTTCTTGTTAATTTTATTAAATTAACAATCAAAAGATCAATTAATTATCTAATTAATTAATTATCAATTAACTAATTAGACTTCATCTTCTAGCAGCCAAGGCTTGTCCTCTGGTGCATCTCGAGCAGCTCTTTAAAAGCCCCTCCCCAGCAGCAGCAACTTCATCTGCTGCAGCGCAATGCGCTGCAGCTGCAGCCAATGAGCCTCTCTCTGGTCTGCCAGCTCTTCTGGGCCCTCCTCTATACTAGACTTTCTTTAGGGGCCCCAAGAGGGACCCAAGGGGGCCCCAAGGGGGCCCCAAGTTGGCCCAAAGGGGGCCCCAAGGGGGCCCAAAGGGGGCCCCAAGGGGGCCCCAGGGGGCCCCCAGAATAGGGGTTCCTGGGGGACCAACCCCACCCCCGAGGCTGTGGGGGGCCCCCAGCTGCAGCTGGGGCCCTCTGTGTAGCCATGGAGGGTCAACGGGTGCTCTTTTGCTGCTGAGTTGGATAGGCTGGGGGCCCTGGCTACACCTATCATGCCCCACATCTGCAACTAAGGACCTAATGCCCGCTGGTGGGCCTTTGGGGGGCCCCAATTGTGCCTTTTTGAGGGTCTGGGGGCCCCCAGAGCAGCCTCAAGACTGGGCCAAGCGCTTCTGCGCCCACGCCGGCTGCAGCAGCGGCGCTGCTGGGCCGCCAGCCCCTGTGGTAGGCTTCTTACAGCAGCAGCAAAGATATTATATTAATTTAAAGATTGTTTTTAAGGAGCTGCTGCAGCAGACAGATCCCTTCTTCCCACCTTGTGCAGCAGGGCTGCTGCCGACAGCCCCTCTGCAAGCACTCCTTACCGCCTAGTAACAGCACACCCGAACACGAAATGGCATAAAAAGGCAACTTCAATAATTAATTTAATTTAATTTATCATTTCAAGTTCTTTTATTACTTCCATCCTGGCGTTGAGGAGCGCCTTGAGGCCCCTCATTTGTGGCTGGCTGCTGCGCCGACTGCAGCAGCTGCTCGCTTGGCTGCAAAGCCCGAAGCTCAGCTTTGCTGCTGCTGCAGCGAAACGTTTAACTATTAAAAGTGTTAAGGGCTACATTTCTGTTTATATTTTGGCTAAGTTGCGGTGGCGCCGCTGCTGGTTCGCGGGGGCCCCCACCAGCCCGGGGCCCCCATGTTGGTGCTGCGCTCTCGGCCGCAGCAGCAGCGGCAGCAACTGCTGCTCTGCTGCTGCTGCTAAGTGCGTGCGTCTTGGAGGCTTTTGGCACCACCCTCTGCAGCTGGGGCCCCAGAAGCCCCCAGGCTTTAGGGACCGGCGAGGGGAGTCTGGGGGCCCCTGTAGGGGGCCCCCTAGGGAGTGTCTTTCAGTCTGCTGCTCCCTTGGACTCAGCAGCAGCAGCAGCAGCAAGTGCAGCAGCAGCAGCAGCAGCGCGGCGCCCGCCTTCGTTTCTGAGTGCCCCCCGTGGCTGCCCGCGGCTGCTGCCCTCCCCCTCAGTTTCTGCTGCTTCGCTGCTGCGGGCGGGGCCCCCCGGGGAGGGGGGGGAAGCAAAAGCTGCAGAAGCAGCAGCAAGCCCTCGAGTTGCTGCAGTGCTGCAGCAGCTGCAGCAGCTGACGCTGCTGGAGGTGTCGGAGCTGGTGCGTCGCCTGGAGAGCGTGTTTGGGGTGTCTGCTGCTGCGGCGCTGGGAGCTGCTGCTGCTCCTGCTGCAGCAGCAGCAGCAGCAGCAGCGCCAGGGGGGGCCCCCGAGGGGCCCCCCGAGGCCCCCCCGCAGACCGAATTCAAAGTCGTGCTGCAGGCAGTACCCACGGCCAGCCGCATAGCAGCAATTAAGGCCTTGAGGGGCCTCAGGGGGGACTTGGGACTTAAAGAAGCAAAAGCTTTTATTGACTCTTTGCCAAAAACTGTTGCTGAAAAAATCAACAAGACAGAAGCTCAGAACATGCTGGAGGCCCTCAAGGCTGCAGGCGCGGAGGCTCAGATGCTCTGACACCCACCAGCAGCAGCAGCAGCAGCAGCAGCAGCAGCAGCAGCAGCGGCTGCGGCGGCGGCAGTGCCGCAGGAGCCGCTGCTGCTGAAGGGGGGCCCCTGCGGGGCTCCAGGGACCCCCTGGGGGGCTATTGGGGGCCCCGGGGGCCCCCACTGCCGCAGGGGGGCCCCTCTGGGACTTTAGGGGCCCCGGAGGGGCCCCCCGAAGTGCAGCAACTCAGTTGCTGCCTCTCAAAAGCCCTAGATGACCCTGGGGGCCCCCAGGGGGCCCTTTGGAGGCCCCCGGGGGGCCCTGGGGGCCCCTTGGAAGCTTCGGGGGGCCCCCAGGGGCCCTGGGGGCCCCCTGGGAGCTTCGGGGGGCCCCCAGGGGCCCCGGGGGGCCCCAGGGGGCCCCCATTGGGTAGACCGCCGCAGCCAATAGGTCCATATATATGGGCAGCAGCTGCTGCCCATATTCATATATATATACTTTTATATATATGGATATTTATATAATTATGTATTATATAAATAAATAAATATAAATGAATATATTTAAAGGATGTTTATGCAGCAAATTTATATATTTGGGGATTGGCTGCGGCGTTTGAAATGGCTTTAGGGATGTAAAGAGTATATAATGGTCCTGGTGTACGTACACCTGGCGTGGGGGTTATTCTTCGAAAAGTCCCCCAGTTAAGTTTATTTTAAAAGAAATAAAAAGTTCAATTTTGCTGCAGACAAATTGATTTAAAAAAAGAAATTGAAAAGTCAATTTTGCTGCTGCACGCTGGGCCCGGCCCTCGGGTGTATCGACACCCTGCAGCTGCTGCTGCGCTGCAGCAGCAGCTGGAGGATGGTAGACTAAATAGGCTGTAGCAGCAGCAGCAGTAGTTGTAGCAGGGAAAATAGCAGCAGCAGCAGCAGCAGCAGCACTAGAGGAGCAGCAGCCGCTGTTGCTGCGTCGAAGGAGCAGCAACAGCAGCAATAATAGGAGCAGCAGCAGATTCAAAAGAGCAGCAGCAGCTTCAGCTGCAGCGGCAGCAGAGGCATCGAAGGAACAGCTGCCTGCAGCACGAAGGCTAGCTGCGGTGGCAGCAGCAGCATCACTAGCTGCTGCAGTAGCACCAGCAGAGCCAAAGCAGCAGCAGCAGCAGCAGCAGCAGCAAAACTGCTCTTGACAAAATCACCCTCAAAGATCCGCCTGCTGCAGCAGATTCTCTAGGGGCTGCGAGGGGGCCCCCCTGGGGCCCCCCGGGGGGCCCCTGGGGGCCCCCAGACTCGGTGCCCCCCGTGACCTCAGCAGCTACTGCTGCAGCTTGTGTCTTTGCTGCTTTAAATTATAAAATAAAATACATTTATTAATTTAAATATGCTGGCTGAAGAGCTCTTAAAGGGTTTCAGGGGGGGGTTGGCCTTGAGGTCTTCCGTTGCTCTGAGGTCTTCGGCGCCTAAACCCTAAACCCTAAACCCTAAACTCTAAACACTAAACCCTCGAAACTGAAGGTCTTTGTGCCTTTTTTTATTCTTTTTTTTGCTGCACATGAGGCCTTTGCCCCGTGTTCTGCTTGGGGCCCCTCGGGGGGCCCTCAGGGGGGCCCCCCGAGGGGCCTCTGAACGGTCAGGGGGGCCCCTGGGGCCCCCTGGGGGCCCCCTGGCTCATTTTATATCTTTAAGGGGGCCCTCGGTGCCTTCGTGGCGGGCCTTCTCCACCAGCAGCTGCAAGGAAGCTGCTGCTGCCGCCGCCAGCTCCAGCAGCAGCAGCAGCAACAACAACAACAGCAGCAGCAACAACAACAACAGCAGCGACAACAGCAACAGCAGCAGCAACAGCATAAGCAGCAGCAGCAGCAGCAGCAGTGACAGCAGCAGCAGCAGCAGCAGCAGCAGCAAAAGTCGCAAAGTGCGGGTGCCCGTGCTGATAGTTGGCGGCGGGCCTGTGGGCTTGACCCTCGCGCTGCTGCTGCAGCGCGGGGGAGTGCCCAGTTTGCTGCTGGAGCAGCAAGCAGCAGCAACTTGTCTCCCGAAGGCTCACTACATCACAAATAGATCTATGGAAAGTGAGCAGGCTCTTGTCTGCTGCTGCTGCTGCTGCTGCTGCTGCTGCTGCTGCTGCTGCTGCTGCTGCTGCTGCTGCTGCTGCCGCTGTCTTTGTTGCTGCTGCTGTCACTGCCGGTTCTTCTGGTGTTTTTGTTGCTGCTGCTATGCTGCTGTCGCTGCTTGTGCTGCTGCTGTCTCTGCTGCTTCTACGCTGCTACTGCTGCTGTTGCTGTTTCTTCTGCTGCGCTGCTGCTGCTGCTGTTGCTGCTGCTGCTGGGCCATCAACACACTGCAAGCATAGCTACGCCTGATCTGTGGGCTCCGAGCCGCTGCCTACTACCTAGCTAGCTAGCTAGCTAGCCAGCTAGCTAGCTTTATAACTTGCTAGCCAGCTAGATAGCTAGCTAGCTAACGGGCACATGGCTAGCCGTAAGCTAGCTAGCCCTACAAGCAACTAGCCAGCTCTCTAGCTAGCAACCCAGCTAGCTAGCTAGCCACCTAGCTATCCGCTAGCCAGGAGGGCAGGCAACAGGCTGGGAGCTGGCTAGCTAGCCTCCAGCCAGCAGCTAGCTAGCAGCTAGCTAGCAGCTAGCTAGCTAGCAGATAGAGTCTGGCTAGCCAATGGCTAGCGGGCAGCTAGTGGCTAGCTAGTCACTGGCTAGCCAACTTGCGGCCAGCTAGCCACTGGCTAGCCAGCCAGCGCCTAGCTAGCTATTGGCTAGCCAAATAGGATCTAGCTGGCCACTGGCTAGCCAGCTAGCGGCTATCTAGCCAGTGACTGGCCAACTAGCGGCTAGCTAGCCACTGGCTAGCCAGCTAGCGGCCAGCAAGCCAGTGGCTAGCCAGCCAGCGTCTAGCCAGCGAGCGGCTAGCTAGCC